AATTGCTGGGATTGTAGAAACACAATCCCATCTTCCTGCCCTGTATTGGTTTTCCTCTATGCAGAGATCTCTTTTTAATGGGTTCTCCATACCAGTCCTGTGATCATGCTGGTTTTACCCAGAGACTCCCATACTATAAGGCCCCAATCACATTATTGCATTGCGGCACCGCACGCTACTTGAAAAGGTTTGATGCTGTGCCATTCTTTCTGAATGCCAGTCCAATGTACCTTGCCAATGAAGGTGCACTGCAACCCAGCAATTCACTAAAGTAAGTTGCAGTGCACCCCAATGAAAGGCGCAAGTCTGATTTCTGACCCGACACGGTACATTGCCAGCCTATTCGCTTTGAATGGGCTTCCTAACACGTTGCACATTAATGCACAGTCTTAATGCCCATGCTTTACCACAACGCACCCCTATGGTGAGGTGTGAGCCTAAGGGTGCAATTTCTACTCTACGGTGTCTGAACCTGACCTCTTTACACATATCTGAGCTCTGCCTGCTTTTTATGTGCTTGCCTATATTGAGTGCATGTAATAGGACACTACCAGAGCTACAGATCGAGAAGATTGCAAATATGATCACTGCCAATAACCTCTGACCTGCTGCTTTCTAGAAACCCCTTGACACTGCCATCATACAATGAAGCTGGGGGAGGGGGAAAAAATTAGGGGCACATGACAAAAAAATATTTGGGCCATGTGTGGGCAACAATCGTCTTGAAAACAGTGCTTAGGGCATGTAGATTTATAATGAATGTTTGCCGTTCAGAATTTTTACCACCACATTTATTCATAGCTTCCTATCAGGCTGCTGGGCTTCTAGAGAGCTTGTTTATACCAGGTTCTTTTTGAGCTGAATTTTCCTGCACGCCACTGCACATGTACGGTATAGTGTGAACAAAGCACACAGAAAACAATTGCTTTCTATGTGCCCTGCTCATACCATACATGTGTGCAGAACAATGCAGCTCAGTGGACATGGTGTGAACAAGCCAGAGCAGATGACATATTGTTGGATTTGATTGGCTCATATCAAAGGTCTTCAGCTGCTTTGAGCGACTCTGAGCTTCTGATGCGGTGCCTTTAAGTATAGCTCCAGGTTAGGCTGTTTTTCAGGTGTGTGTACGTGTGTGTGTGTGTGTGTGTGTGTGTGTGTGTGTGTGTGTGTTGAAGTGAATAACATTTAAGTATCTGGTTACAATGGCACCTGGAAGTCTGGAAGCTGACATTTTGTTCCTGAAGTTGATGTGTTGGAAGCAGAAAAAATGGACAAGTGTAAGGATTTGAGAGACTTTGACAAAGGCTAAATTGTGATGTCTAGATGACTGGGTCAGAGCAACTTCATAACGGCAGTGAGATGTTCCCGGTCTACAGTGGTCAGGACCTACCAAAAGTGGTCCAAGGAAGGGAAACCGGTGACAGGGTCATGGGTTGCCAAAGCTCATTGATGTACGCGGGGAGCAAAGGCTGGCTCGTGTAGTCCTATCCAATGAAAGAGCTACTGTAGCTCAAACTGCTGAAAACGTTAATGCTGGTTCTGGTAGAAAGGTGTCTGAACACACATCTGCAGGCCGGTCAGGGTGTCCCATGCTAACCCGTGTCCACTGCCTAAATCGCCTACAATGGGCATGTGAGCATCGGAACCGGACACGGAGCAATGGAAGAAAGTTGCCTGGTCTGATGAATACAATTTTTCTTTTATATCATGTGGATGGGCGATTTTCGCGTGAGATCTACCTGGGGAAGAGATGGCACCAGAATTCCCTATGGGAAGAAGGGGCAGCAGAAGGGCAGCTACAGCATCCCAGGTTGCAAAGAGTTTTAGCAACGTGTGACACTCTGTATGGCTTCCTGCCCAGCAGCAGCAAACCCCCCCCCCCCCACCAAAC